CTCTTTCTTTTCCACCTTTTTCTCTTACTCTCATCCCGACCCCCATTACTAACCTTTCTATAATTCCCAGCTTAATTGACAGCAACCGAAGTGCCACTGGAGTAGAACCATCTGCAGCCACCTCGCGACACTCACCTGACGCCTATCGGCAAAAGTCCCTTTTAAGGCCACGCTGTCCCGTTTCCATGCCGACATTCAACGTCCGCACTCTAAGACAAACAGGTCAACAGGCTGTAATCGCACGCACCTTAGACACACTGGGTATTGATGTGTGTTGTGTGTCCGAAACTAGGATTAATGACCCTAACGGGGTTATTGAATTGACTGCACCCGGCTTATCCTCTCGTTATTGGTTGCACGCATCCGGAGGCGGCGATGCCGCACTCACGGGTCAAGCTGGTGTAGGTATCATTCTGAGCTCCAAGGTTGAGTCATCGCTGGTTGATTGGATTCCGGTAAATCGCCGTTTATGTGCAGCCCGTTTGACGACATCAGCTGCGGTTGATTCACGAAGTAGTACAACACGCTGTTTGTTTGTGCTTTTTGCTTATGCTCCCACCGACTGCAGTTCAAGTACTGTCAAGGACACATTCTATCACGAACTGAACGCGCTACTACGCAGTGCTACCAGTTCAGATATTCTAGTACTTGCAGGGGATATGAACGCACAAATAGGGCGTCTGAGCTCTTCAGAAGCTCAGGTGGGTGGTAATTGTGGACTTAACTCCGAACGGACTGATAACGGTGAGCGTCTGCTGCAACTGTGTGCGGAGCACCAGTTGTTTCTTAGTAGCACTGCTTTTAGACACAGTGGGCGCCGAAGTGCTACTTGGCGTTCTCCTGTAGCTGGCCAGCGATGGACCCAAATTGACCACATAGCCATAAGTTACAGGTGGCGTGGTTCCATCCTGGATTGCCGCTCATACTGGAATACCTGTGTCGACTCTGATCATGGCTTGGTGCGCTGTCGTTTCTCCATGAACTTTACCGGAAGGCGCACCAAGCGTCCCCTACGACTGGCAACGGAGCAATTGTCTCAGTCCTCTGTCAGGCAAGCCTATCAAGAGGCGCTGCGTATCGAACTTCCGCTGTTTTGTCCTAATGACACTGAGCTTCAGTGGAATAGGATCTCGGCCGCCATGCACGACGCAGGAGCATCTGCTTGTGGCACCATCAATCGTCACCGCACCAGTCACTGGATATCCGAGAGGTCGGTGAACCTGTTGGAATCTAGAAGACACCTCCCGGCTGGCTCTGAACCAAATGTGACCAGACGGGCTATTAGGCGTGAACTAAAGCGGAGCCTACGTGCTGACAAGGAAGCCTAGTGGACCAATCGGGCTCAAGAAATGGAGGAGGCAGGAGCAGTAGGCCATTATCGCAAGCTCTTCCAGCTAATCCGCACCACTGGTCCCAGAAAACCAGGCGTCAGTGAGACAATCAGAGACAGCGCGGGTGCGCTGATACACAATAAGGAGCGCCGTATGGCTGGTTGGGCGGAACACTTTCAAGATCAGTTCAGCTGGCCCCCTGCTCCCGGACCTCTTTTTACTCACGTGATGCAGGACGAGCGATGGACGGTTAGTTTAGAGCCTCCGTCTGAGGCCGAGGTCCGAAACGCGATCACAGCCCTCAATCGTTTTCGTGCCGCTGGTCCGGATTCCCTCCCACCTGCACTATTTAAGGATGGAGGTGATGCCCTGTGCAGGGCACTGACCTCCCTATTCGAACGTATCTGGAAGGAAGTGTCCCGACTAATTGGAGCGAATCGATTATAGTGGCAATGTACAAAAAGGGCAGTCGCACAGACTGTTCTAACCACAGGGGTATTAGCTTAACGCCAGTTGTGACAAAATTATTGGCCTCGATTCTCGTTCGTCGCATCACTGCGGAACGGGAATCTCTTATTAGGGAAGAGCAGGCCGGTTTCCGCCCAGGACGTGGCTGTATAGATCATATATTTATTTTGCGGCAGGTGCTAGAGCAGCGCCACGCATACCGCAGAGCGACAATAGCTGTGTTCCTTTATTTCAAGAGTGCCTTCGATTCGGTCGGTCGATCGATTCTGTTCGAAATACTTGCGCGGTGTGCGACAGAGCTGCCCTATGTCGCCATTTCTCTTCGACTTCGCAATCGAAGACGTTCTGTCGAATGCCCTAGAAGGTTTCCAACATTTTTGCCTAGAGCTTCTACCGGGTGAGCACGCGACCGACTTAGATTATGCTGATGATATCGCCTTACTTGGTGACGATCCTCGGGGTATGCAACTCATTCTAGATCGTTTGGCGATTGAAGCATCTAAGTATGGCATGAGCTTCGCCCCATCGAAGTGCAAAGTACTGCTCAAGGATTGGCTTTCACCTGCTCCCGTGCTCACTCTCGAAGGTGCACAACTTGCACAGGTAGATAGTTTCGTCTACCTCGGGAGCTGTGTTTCTGCTGACGACACTATCAACAAAGAAGTTTCGCTTCGTATCGCTAAAGCTCGATCAGCATTTGTCAATGTGAGGCACTTGTGGGGTCGTCGTGTCGTCTCATTCTCACTAAAGGGCCGCATTTACAGCGCATCAGTTCGCTCAGTATTGTTGTATGGGTGCGAGTTCTGGCCGATTCGCGTAGAAGAAATGCGTCCTCTTTCTGCCTTCGATGCCGGTTGCTCAAGGAGGATCGCTCGTGTTTGGTGGCAACATTGAGTTAATAGTAATGACGTTCGACGTCGCATCTTGGGGCATGCAAGTATTTCCTTCAACAAACTGGTTTTGTTGCGCCAGTTGAGATGGCTCGGTCATGTCCTACGCATGGCACCTGAGCGTCTACCGCGTCGCGCTCTATTCGCTCGTCAAGGACCTGGCTGAAAGCGACTGCGTGATGGTCAGCCTTCCACTTGGCGGCAGCACATGAAATCGCTGACGTCATGTCTAGCCGCTGTTGGATCCGTACGTTTTCCAGGATGGGGACCCAAAGATGAGGAGTGCCAATGGCTTAGCACTCTTGAAGTTATGGCCCGCAACCGGAATCAGTGGAAGAATTGTGTACAGTATTGTATTGATTCACATGTTTAATACTACCAATATTGAAAATGACATAAAAAGGAAAAGATCGGCGTGTGACAAACAAGCTAAAAAGGTTTTGTTCTATTTTTTGTCAAAATGTTCCATTCTTCTTGCGGCATATTAGCTGAAGTGTGTTGCTCACCTTCAACTACCATGCCACGATGATTATGACGCAATGACTGTCTCCTGTCCACTGATCTCCATGGCTTTGTTGACTCTATGTCTAGTTGCTAGACTGTTGAGGTTACGTTACATCCTTTGTGCTCTAAACTCGAACACTACAAGCCGCGTCGGGGTGTGCAGTATTCTATCGGATAGCTTTCCGACCACAAGTGGCGTTCGTCAGGGTTGTCCGATTTCCCCACTTTTGTTCAATTTCGTTGTGGATTCTATCATGGTGTGTTCCCTTGCGGAATCTCACGATGTAGGCGTTGAAGTGCTGCCTGGTGAAAGGTTAGTTGATCTAGATTATGCGGACGATATCGTCTTGCTTTTCGACGATGTTGAGGCGGCACAATCAACCCTGATTAGCCTGTCGAGAGTGGTCCCATTATTTGGTATGCACTTCGCACCTTCAATGTGCGAAATGTTGCTTCAGGACCACCAGCCACTTGATGACCCCTTGACGCTTGCTAACGAGGAACTCGAGGTGGTTGATCATTTCACTTATTCTGGCAGTTGCATCAGCAACGATGGGCGCATAGGAACTGACGTCAGTTCACGCATTACAAAAGCCAGAGCTACCTTCTTAAACCTGCGTCATCTTTGGTGACAGGAGGGAGTTTCCCTCCGTGTGAAAGGCCGGTTATACAAGGCCACAGTGAGGGCCGTTCTGCTCTATGGTAGTGAGACTTGGCCCCTTCGGTCTGAAGATCTGAGGCGCCTTCAAGTCTTTGATCATCGTTGTTTGCGATGCATTGCTGGAGTCGGATGGCACAGCGTGTCCGCAACGATGATGTGCGTAGGCGAGTACTAGGTAGTGATAATCATGCCAGCACCCTAGAACAACAGATAGCACTGAATAAGTTGCGTTGGCTCGGGCACGTGCTACGCATGCCTGGTCACCGCTTACTTAGGAGAGCCTTGTTCAGTCTGCCAGGTGTAGGATGGCGCAAGGCTCGAGGTGGACAGAATTTGACTTGGCAGCGGGAAATGAAGTCACTGACGAGCAAACTGGGTTCCGTTGGTCCGTCTCGCCTTCCGGGTTGGAGTCCACGTGACTCACCTTGTGCTTGGCTCGAGACTTTGCAGGACATGGCTCGCAACCGACACCAGTGGTGCTTCTGCTGCCGTCTCTTAATCGGATTGCCTGTTTAAAGTATGTTTGGTGCTGAGTTATCTGCGGGGTAATGGCTGATTATGACGCGGGGCAGTGAAAGCCGCAAGTAAGCTGTCTCGCCGATACCGCCTTATCTTTGCACGATAGCCAGCTGTTTGTGACGGTATGTTGTCTACACAAGGTGTAGGCGCCTTGACCCTGAATGTTTGCTTAGGGCATTAAGGTTTTCAGGTAAGTCCCCCTTCTCTCCCTCTTCTTACTCTTTATTTCATAGGTCCTCGTGGTTGTATGGCAGCGAAGCATCAGTTCAAATGACTGATGTACTGCTGTTGATGATGATGATGACTACTGTCTCTGATTAAAACGCGCTGTTTTTTCTTTATGTCGATGTCACTGCCTACAAAATGTCTTTTTTATTGCTAACTCCTCACATTTACTTTGTATTCGTCGTCACTGCACCTGACCACTAACTGGTTCCCGTGTAGGGTCGCACCACCGAATTACTCCAGCAGTATGGTGTCAGTTTACGTCAACAATGCGCTCTATGCACTCATGAAGAGTGGATGTTCAGCTACTGTCGTTCAGTATGTTTTACTCTAGGATAGGAATTATTCCTTTGCTTACCTCATTTTAGATTCTTGTCTTTCTTCTGTTCTTTCACTTTTTAGCGCTTCAATATGCCACGGTTTACTCACCCACCTCCATTCCCATGTAAGTGCTCTTGAGTAGGTACGTGCATTAGATCAGCTATTTATACGTTCTACTTCGGCTATGTAACTAGTTTTTTTGGATTACTGCATTATCTCGTCACATTTCCTCTCTGAATGTCAGCCTGTTCTGTTTTGTCGCGATTTCTCATTTTTCATCGCCTGAGCTCCTGAAATTTTTCTTTGCTTTATTTGTGTCCATTACGTGACAATTGCGTCGGTTAGCTTAGCCGCTCCTACATGACCCTATACGCTAGTATTGTGGGATATGGTTACTTATTATGAGTTTCTCCATTACACTTTACTAACTTAATTGTTTTGCTTCTGAGTCGCATACGTGTCAGTTTAAAGAAAAAACCCGCTTTTACCACCTGCTCGTTTATGGCTCTCACGACGCATGCATCCTCTGCGAGTCTTCTTGACAGTGTAGTCCGTCCAACGGTCTTGAAAGTATCCTTACTCGTTTCGGTTGTTCCATCCGAACTTGTTTTCCTCTCGCACGGTTCATCATGCTTGCTCCTTCTAAACAGAGAGCGCAAATCTACGCATTCTTATGTTCATACCATGCCGTCATGTGCAAACATGGCGGAATCTCCAAATCTAATGCGTTCCATGGTGCGACTTTTGTTACTATTACCACGTGGGCATGGCCTTCTGTAGTCGCTCTTTATTCTTTTTCGGCATTGAACTCGCTCAAAAATGCTCCCTCTTTGGCTGCACACAGCGTAGAAGTTGCGGATCAATCATATTCAGTCGCCTTTTCAGGTTGTCATTTCTTCCCTGACATCAGTCGGCGCCGCAACGATTTATCAACCGCTAAAAGTAGAGAAGATTAAGTGCTTCGAAAACTTCCTCTCACTCTACAGGGGACTGCGGCTGATAATTGATCCACCCATCACGTTTATCTTTAAAAAAAACTGATGAACCACTTCGTCCTAATGAGGAGTAGGAAGCCTCGAAGTTTGACGCGTTGGTGAGGCCGGGAGAGCTTGTGCCATGTGCGCGCGTAAATGTTATGGTCGGAGTCTAGACATGTGTTTCAAATTAACTGATATTCTTGCATTCCCATACATCAGCTGTGACTGAGGAGCGTATGACCAACTCGAGTCTAAGGTGCTGTTGCGTTCGGTGAGCGTCGTTGCTAGCACATGTGGCGGTTGGCATACTTGATGAATACTTATGAGTAGGAATATGTTTAATGAGATTTTACTGCTTCATCCCAGCTGATCACAAGCATTCCCTCGCTCCCCTGCTTGGGATCGAACCCCTGACCGCTAACAGCTTATTCCACTGACCCATGAGGGACGGAGGCAGACTGTCTGAAATTGCAAGCTCAACGTATCCTCCACTGCCATGCAGGTTCCTACTATTGCAAAAGCTGACTGGCCTCCGAGATTACGACTTCCACTACCCAGTAGCTATGTCCGCATAGAATTTGAAGACTGTGAGGACGAATGTTTTGATTTCTTATATCTAGGCTTTGGAGAAACTGATCGCCATTATTTGACCGTGATATATCGTCTCAGAGTCTGCTGGGCAACCCACATCGGCATTTATGTCCCCATCGTATTAATAGCAATAGTGAAATCAATGGTCTAATAAATCAACATAGAACCAATCAAAAACCATGAACTTCAGCGGATGGCAGGTGGATCGCCGCAGCGTCATCATTATGGCACATTAATTGAAGGCGATCGACATACTTCAGCTATTGTACTGCGAGCAGAACGGAACTTTTCTGTAATTTTTCACTCGCCGCTTTTTGTTTTACATTTTTTTAATTGTTAGGTATTAAGTACCTGAATCTAAACAAGTAATGAACTGAAGAATGCACTGGATGTTATATAGATTCTTTTCCCGTTAAACGTTACGTTTGATATGCTCGTCACTCATGATCGGAGCTCGTTACCTGTTCGAATTGTACTTTCATTTTGCAGTTATTCCTCCTCCTGGAGGACCTCCAACGATGCTGCCGCCGTCTGGTGCTCCCGGTTTCGGCACTCCGGACGGTCTTACACAGCATCCTCCGCCTCGCCCGACGTTACCAAGCGCGTTGATTCCTCCCACGCCTCCTGCGCCTACCACAGGTTCTCAGCAAGAGATAGAACAGGTTTGTCAACAATATTCTTTTTTCGCCCGGAACTCGCCAACTGCATCCACTTGCTGGGGGCTAGGCTGAAGAGTCATGGGACCAAAGCCACAGCGCATGCATCTATCCAGTGTGTCTGGTTATCACGGATGATATAGCGTTGCTTGACCGTTAATTCTGTCCACATTGCTACCCTCAAATGGGGAGCGACCTGCACTATATCACAGTCATCTGCATAGTCATGTCATTTGCGGGCTTTCGTTGTTATCCTCAACAATCGAACAGCCATCTCTATTTATTCTCAAAAAGATAGGATGTGTCGATTATCGGTCCTTTTGTTGTGCTCGTCTTGGGCGATTTTTATCTGAATCACCTGAATTCTCTTGCCGTTCTCTCTCCGATTAGCCATTCTTTTAGATTAATGCTTTTTCCACCTGTTGCTCGGTTACCTTCCGCGCGATTCCGTCCTTTGATGTACCGTTAAATGCAGACACATCCTTGGTGATCGCAGACACAAGACAGCTGGAATTGTAATAGCACAATGCGAAAAATGTGCTGCTTTAATCCCACTTACAAGTTAGATCACGGAGTCCTCCTCGTCACTCCAAAGAAGTCGCTGCAAACAACGACGGACAGTACGCACTTGCGTCTACTGGGTGTCATCTTTTCGCTATCCAAACCCTTCCATTTCCTAATTTCTCCTTTGTTCATTTTATAGTGGTTAAATTTAGTATTACTGAGCTATCACGTCCATCAGCAGTCGCACCTAACCCACGGTAAAAAGTAACTCCCTTCTTTTCCCTGTATTGTACAAGTGCTTGTGCTGCTCTTTGTGCTCAGCTCAAAAACCCCGCTGCTGCAAGGTCTAGGTGGCCTTATATCGTCCCTATAACTTTTGTATTTTTTAAAATCCTAATGCCTCCTGTCATAAGACATTTATCGTGTTGCAACCACAGTGGTGTTTAACCTTGGAATGAGCTCAGTTCTACTGTGTGGATATATGCTTGGTGGTTGCTTTGCCTTAGTGACACCAGACGCCTTCATTTGCTTAGCACATAGTGACACTCTCCACCACTAAGTACTTAGAAGACATCCCTTTAGTACCGCATTGGGGCCGAGTGGTCTGCACGCCTGGCTTGCAATCGTATGGTCACGGGTTCGAACCTGCGTAGGGACGAGCACCCTCGCGACATACTCAGCCCATGCGCGACTGGTGGTGGTCGCGCGGCAGCGAAGGGCCGTTACGGCATACAGCTGACGATTTATCGCCGACCCATAGCCTAAGGGTAACAATCTTGCCTTGTAATCTGACGGCGCGGGTTCGAGACTGTGTAGGGACAGGGCGACCCTCGCAGTATCCTTAGCCCACTTGCATCTAGTGGTGATTGCGCGGCAGCGAAGCGTCCGTACTGCATACCGGCGTACTTCTAATGGCCTGCCTCTTTATGCTTGTCGGTCCCTTTTCTGTCTACTCCCGTAGATGCTACGTATGGTGCCTTATTGGTTGAAGCTCCGTGGTAATCAAGTAATGGCATCGTAAGTAAGCATGAGGCACAGGGACGTATTTGGGAGGCTTATATGGGGAAAAATTGAATTTTTCGCAACCCTACTCCGTTACTATTTCGGGACTCTTCAGCAGTGCGCATCGTATTTATCTCCTCTGCGGCTAGAACCCCCCCCCAGCTAGGTTCTATGCCGTCACAACGAGACTGGATCTTAACGTGATGTGACGCTTTACGTACCTCGTCGACTCATTCAGCTATACTGGACGGGGCCCTTGGACCTCTTAACAGCTACTCTTACCAACTTATTCGATGGTTAGAGATCAGACGAACTCAGTCTCCTGGTCTTCCAGGTTTGGGTTTTGAGATACGATGGCGTCCATTTCTGTAAAATCAAATCTTTGCCACAATCCGCTGCCTTGCAGACGGGCTTTTGAGCCAAAAGTATTGTTTTAGGACCCTAATCGTCCTTCTGTCTAAATCTGGGCGCCCTGACAGCTCCTCTGCCCTAGTATAACCATGACTACTTCAAATTTCAATCATATCCTGCATCGGCCGTCTCGCAACTTATCAAGGATCGCCTTATTTCCTGCATACAGCACGGCGAATAAGCGAAAACATGCTACTACTAACGCCTCCCTTCTTTCCTTTTCCTTTCTCACTCCACTCCCAGTTCCCATTACTAGCCTGCTCTAATTCTCAGTTTAATTGACCGCAGCCACAATCTCACTGGACTCATACCATCTGCAGCTATGTTTCCATACCACCCACTGGAAACTAAATGCCAACAGCTCCTTATCGGTTACACTGTCCCGTTTCCCTGGCTGTGTTCAACGTTCGCACTGTAATACCAATTGGCCAATAGGCTGCACTCGCATACACGTTATACACGCTGGGTATTGACGTATATTGTGTCTCCGAAACTATGCTCACTGACGCTCGTGGGGTTGTTGAATTAACTGCACCCGGTTTGCCCTCTCGCTATTGTTTGCACGCATCCGGAGACGCTTATGCGGCAATCACTGGTCATGCTGGACGGGGCATTGTTCTCAACTCCAAGGCTGTCATCCTTGGTTTGGATCCGGGGAACAGCCGTTTGTCTACAATCCGTTTGAAGACATTAACCATAATTGATTTTCGGATTAGCACTAGAGGCTGTTTGTTTGTGGTTTCCGCATATGCCCCCACTGATTACAGTTCTGACGCTGCGAAGGTCGTTTTCTACCGCGAACTATACACGCTACTACGCAGTGTTACCAGTTCAGATATCGTTTTTTTATAGAGAATATGAATGATCAAGTAGGTCGTTTGACCTCTTCAGAATGTTTGCTAGGTGACAAGTATTGACTTAACTCCGAACGAACGGACATAGGCGAGCGTCTGTTGCAGCTGTGTGTGGAGCACCAGGTGTTTATTGGTAGAACCGCTACTAGACACAGTGGGCGCCGAAGTGCCACTTGGGCTCCTCCTGTAGTTGATGAGCGGTGGACGCAAATAGATCCCATTGTCACAAGTTACAGGTGGCGTGGTTCTTTCTAGACTACTTGCGTCGACTCTGATCATGCCTTTTCACACTGTCGTTTTGTCACGACTTTTACCAGGAGGCACACCAAACGCTTCCCTAGATTGGCAACTAAGAAGTAAATTCAGTCCTTGGTCAGGCAAGCCAACCAGGATGCACTACATCCGGAACTTTCTCTCTTTTGTCCTAATGACACTGAGCTTCAGCGGAATAGGATCTCCGCAACTTGCGACATACAGGAGCCTCCGCTTGCGGCGCTATCAATCGTGACCAACCCCGCCCCATTTTTTTCGTGCTACTGGCGCGGATTTCCACGCACCCACACTATTTAAGGATGGTGGTGAGGTCCTCTGCAGTGCCTCCGTGTTCGAACAGGTCTGAAATGCAGAGTCCATTCCAACTAACTGGAGTGAATCAATTATGTTGGCGATATACAAGAAGGACAAGGATATTAGCCTAACGCCGGTGGTGACAAAATTACTGGCTTCAATTCTCCTTCGTCGTCTCACTGCAAAGCGCGAATCACTGTTTAGGTAGGAGCAAGCAGGCTTCCACCCAGGACGGGCATGTATAGACTACATATTCACTTTGCGGCAGGTGTTAGAGCAGCGCCACACGTACCGCAGGCCGCCAATAGCTATGTCCCTCAACTTCAAATGTGCTTTCGACTCAGTCCACCGATGCATTCTGTCCGAAATACTTGAGTGGAAAGATGTTCCCACGAAATATGTGAACATTTTACATGTTCTATACTCGAATACTACAGGCCGCGTCAGGTTCTACGTTGATTCGTCCGATGCCTTACCGACAACAAGTGACGTTCGTCAGGGTTGCCCAGTTCCCCCATTTTTGTTCATCTTCGTCTTGGAATCCACCATGGAGTGTACCCTTGCGGAGTCTCACGATGCTGGCGTTGGGGTGCTGCATTGTGAAAAGCTAGTTGATATTAATTAGGCGGACGATATTGTCCTGCTTTTTACGGATGTTAAGGTGGTGCAATCAACCCTGTATAACCTCTCTAGAGTGGTTCCATCATTTGGCATGCGCTTCGCACCTTCAAAGTACAAATTGCTGTTACAGGACCACCAGTTACTTGATGGCGAGGAAATCCACGTAGTTGATCACCTACCTTGGCAGCTGCATCGGTAATGATGAGCGCATAGTAGCTGAAGTCAGTTCACCTATTGCAAAAGCTAGAACTGCCTTTTTGAATCTCCGACATCTTTGGCAGCAGGAAGGAGTTTCCCTCCGTCTTAAAGGTTGTGTATACAAGTCCACAGTGAGGGCCATCCTACTCTATGGAAGCGAGATTTGGCCCCTCCGATCTGAGGACCTGTGGCGCCTTCAACTCTTTGGTCATCGTTGTCTGCGAAGCTTTGGTGGTGTCGGTTGGCACCCGCATGTCTGCAACGATTATGTGCGTGAGCGATTACTATGCAGTGATAACCAGGCTATTCCCTTAGAACAGCAAATAGCACTAAATGAGTTGCGTTGGTTTGGGCACCTACTATGTATGCCTGGTCACCGATTATCGATGAGGGTCTTGTTTTGTTCGCTAGATGTAGGTTGGCGGAAGGCCCGAGGTGGACTGAAATTAACTTGCCAGCAAAAAATGAAGTCACTGACGACCCAACCCGTTGCCGTCGGTCCGTTTCGCCTTCCAAGCGGGAGTCCACGTGACCCACCCTGTGCTTGGCTTTAGACGTTACAGGACATGGCTCGCAGTGGACCTCAGTGGCGTGTCTGCTGACCTCTTAGTCGGATTGCCGGTGTTATATGCAGTGTAAGGGCTGAATATGACGCGGGGTAGTGAAAGCGGCAAGGGAGCTGTCTTGCCGATGCCGCCTTATCTTTGCACGTTAGCCAGCTGTTTATGATGGTATGTTGTTGACAAGGAGTAGACGTCTTGACCCTGAATGTTTGTTTAAGCCATTAAGATGTTACCGCAGGTCCCCCCTCTCTCCCTGTTATTATTCTTCGTTCCACAGGTCACCGTGCTTGTACTGCAACGAGGCATCAGTTCCAATGGCTGTTGCTGATGATGATGACGAGCTCTGTTCTGTTGAGTACGTGGTTATGACCACTGTTTCACGAGGGGGGCCACGACCGACATCATAAACTCACCAGATGTAGCATAACGCGACCCACTCTCCACCGTCGTGTACAGAATATGGTGGGCTCGTGATCAACATTGCCGGAACTTAAGTCACCAATCAACTTGTACTATTGTTAGCAGTCTTTGTGACGTACTGATTGTTTGGAAGCAGTGGGGACTCCTCCTAACTGCGGAGTTGGGCGATTTGAAGAGTCTCCAGGGTCTGTGCTAGTGACATAAGGAAACCCACGTGGGTTCTTTGCTAATGTGTCAGGCGCGCAGCAGTAGCTTCAAGTCACTGGGGAGTGATTCGCGCCATATTACTGTCCAGTTACCTAGTCATCCTCCGGGCTTAACGATATATATATATATATATATATATATATATATATATATATTGATCACAATTTATGTACAAATATTGTGCCATCAGAACCATGACGAAATAGGAAAACAAGGTTAGCTTAAATGAATAAAAAAAATAAACAATTTTTTGTCTATTTTCCTCCCGCAGTTTTTGAGTTTTTTGATGTTTTTAATTTGGGGGGGGGGAGGAAGGAAATGATCCACGCATGGTTCGTCATTGGGCGGGATACTACTCGGTTGCCCAGGCCGAAATAACGGGTTGTCTTAGGGGGCCCCGCCCCGAGCCTTTGATCCAGGATCTAACCTACAAACTAGCAGGGCGATATGAGGGTATCGTAACCCATTGGGAGCTGGTGACCAAACAAGTGGTTCATACGCCTTTAGGGCCGCATAGAACCTAGGGCCCAATACACCTTTAAATTACAATGCCGCTCAGAGAGCGACAAGGGGCAATGACTTTATTTAGTAGCGAGTCACATCCGCCACGTCAGAGTGTTGTTAAAAGGACATATGTAGCTTTTTATAGGAGAAAGCTTGCCAGCAGAAACCCACCACGTCCTGGAACACTGCTGCCGAACCATTCGCTAGAACGGGATAATCCCGAACCACCCAGCTGGCACCACGGACTTGTAAACCTTGGGTTCTGACCCCACATTGGACGGATGAGATGGAAACTATTGATGATTCCCGAAAGGATAAGACAACCGTCCAGGGCTTTTGCGGACGTGTCATATACGATTGACTAAGGAATTCACCTTTAGCGTGAAGTGTTTGCTCAGTACAATTAATAAAACTGGTAATTTTCCCATCTCTGCACTCCACGTCCGACGGTTTCGTCTTGGTTTGGACACATCAGCTAATGATGGAGATGCGAAAGAGCCCCACCGAAACCCTCCACTTCGGCGATGATCACAGTGAGCGTATTGGCAGAGCTTGACTCCAAAGTCAACCGAGGCCACAATCGAGATTGTGTGTCGCAGTCCAAGACACATGGCGGATGCTCCAAAACCCGAAAGTCAACTCTGATACTCTTCTTCTTACTATTAGACGCTAGCCACGTACTAGACCAACCTGATGATTTGGAGTCTTCCCTCGACATCTCGCGCATTCACGAGTTCACTGACGCTGTTGCATGCAGTCTCTTCCAGACATCCCCCGTCCGACAACCGGGTTGTTCCTTGTGATTTTGCTTATCTGCGTGAACCAAGACAATACCGGTTCGGGCTGTCTGCTCAGATGTTCACGTGGTGTCTGAACTTGTCATTTCCCAAGCTCATTGAGCACATGAACACCTGAAATGCTTTCATTTGTAACTAATTTCCATGCTGACTGGAAAACAGGTCACCATCTGTTTCGTGTGTTTACTTCTGGGTAGCGCCACGGTCGTCACATACCAATCGACTTAGCTTCATACTTGTTCGTTGAGGATTTTACATCAGGTCCGTTAAAGCCTGGACAGTAACAACGGCATTTACTTTTCATGCGATGACCAAAATCCACATTGTCCTTTTCATATGTACACAAAATCCATTGATTGGATTTGTCTCTGTTGGATACACTTTGTCCATCAGCTGCCTAATGTTACTCTTTCAAATGGGTTGTTGAATTGAAACCACTTTTCCTCGTCCTGTGCATTGTATTGTATGTGTTTTTATTCTACCGTGTTCTGTTCATGGGCGGATATTTTCGAGCACGTATCGACTGCTTTCCCCTCCCCCTTACTTGTTCCAGATGCACCGCATGTATCAAAGGGCGTGTCAACTTTACGAGCGAGCAGTGGCTAAAGTGAACTCGTCTGCGAGCACTTTGCCTCTGGGACCCCCTCCAAGACCTCCACCACCTCCTTTTCTGCCGATACCTGTTACACCTGAAACGGTAGCAAACAGAGCCCCCTTGGGGGCTCCACCAATTACTAGCACAACTGGAGGCGGTGCTCCTTTTCCAAGTCCAACTGATCACCCCGGTATGCGTGCTCCCGTTTCACTCCAAGATCCGAAACCAAGTACGGAACCTTCTTCACGTCCAGAATTCCCTCCCCCTCCACCCCGCTTAAATTTACCTCCAGCATCTCAAGCTTCACTCGCACGCCTCCCCCAATCCACTTACGATGTTGCGTATGCCGCTGCTTACAAACAAACGATGGCTGTTATGCCCTCACCCGCGAGCGGTGGCCCTGCCCCAAACACTCCGGAGCATGCGGCTACTTGGCAACGCTATATGGACTATCATCTCCGTTACTACCTACAAGCTTATGCCTCAATGACAACGAACAACGACCCCACCGCATCTAATCCAGTTATCGACGTTCCGTTGACCACCTCTGCGCAGACATCCACCCCTGTGGTTACATCATGTGATGCTTCCAGCGGAGCTCATTCCTTGATGGTTACTGAAACACCTGCGCCCGTCTTCACTATGGTAAGCTTTTGTGGATTATAACCAGGATCTCGGTGGTACAAACAGTACCCTCTAACCACCCGACCTGCCATGTGACACAAGAATAAGGAGTTGTGTGCTGATTTGTCTATTTTAATTTTAACTGGCGTTCTAACTCAATTCCTGATTTCTAGTCACCTTGTACCACACGAACTATTTCCACTCGTCAATCCTCAGCAACCTCGCTCTCAGGCAATGCTTTACGTTTGGCTAAGCACTAAGTGTTTTTTTCCGATTCAACTCCGGATGCCATAGCTCACTCGCCTGCTGTAACGGCGATTCAACTTTGATCAACTTCACTTATTCGATCCGCTCTCGGGTACTTTTCAGTCGCAGATCTGTGTGCATGCGCGCTTTGGTTTTCGTTATCCACAACCTTTATTTCCTTCTATGGATCAGTAGTTAAAACGCGGATTTCTCCGTGATTTTATGCTATCCCACAGTTGATAAAATACCATCGTTTCTTGCATCACGAAGAATTGCGCACGCCATTCACTAGGAGCATACATTTACTCGCAGATTTGTCCGTTTATCTCGTCTCTCGAAGGCAAGTTCTAGTCGCAACAATGATACCTAAGTTTGAACGATAGCACCATAATTCATCCGTACTTTTCTGATATTCTTTTTAGGTGTTAACTAAATAACTTACGAAATTTTCAAAAACAAGTATCTACTTTCGTCCAGTTCTTGTGTTTCCACCGATGAGAACCTCAGAAGATATTTCGCTGCTTTTGGAACCTGTACTAGAAGCCGTATCATGTTCAGTGGGAATTGCCTGATTTTCGCTTGCTTTTCGAATCTTTCCACTTTAGTCATCCAAACCAATTGCACCTTCCGAGTCTTCGTCCACATCGCCCAAGCGAACGCGTCGCAATAACACAAGTCCTGTTCAAGAAGAACGTAGCTCGGAGACTTTGAGCAACACTATTACTGACTCTAACAGTGGCTTTGAAACAAACGCGGCTGGTTCCAACGCTCCTAAAGTGGCGCCTGCTGTGATGCTAGAGGACAGTGAGTTTTGTACAACTCACAATGCGAATTTTTACTCCAGCTTCCTCAGCTTTTAGAAGCCATTGCGGAGTGCTCTCATTGTCTGTTTGCCTCTCTTCTGACAACATTCTTCCTTAGGAAATAATGGATAATGTCATGCGTTCTGACTTATGACCATGGCGCTACGCACTCCTTCATGGCTCTGTTTTCACATGCACTCACTTAGTGTCCTTAGTCTAATTTTGTCAAAATGACGCATCTACCCCCACTAACTCGATTATTTCATTTGCCTAACTGATCTAGTTGGGAAATACGTCTGCGTCTATTCCCCTCTGCCCCAGAATCCATTAGTTTGAACAGTAGTTCTAGCTTTGGGGTCGCGGAAACTCCTTTGCCGCCTGCCCATTATGATACTTCACATATTACTTCTCTTGTGCACGCTTAGTTGCAGTCAATGATTCCAACATTGCATCGTAACATGGGATATCTTTATCAGTTTTTACGTGCAACCACGGAATTCGAATGTAGAGTATAAGTCGCCTGTGGGGATTATTTACCTGCCTCGCATAAACCGTAATGCATTTTTTGCTTTGCGTAATTTCGCACCATTTTCTTCCGTCGCTACTGCATTTCGGTGTTTGTGGCTTGTGTCCCCACTGCAACGACTTGGTGCATTGTACTCACCTCTTCCGTTTTCCTTTCAAACAGCGAGATCTTCAAAGTGCATTTGGATAAGCAATCTCGCTCAGGGTGTCAAGGCAGTTGAGCTGAAGGAACGTTGTGCCCCCTACGGTCACGTGAGTACAACACACCCATTTTCTTTACTGTACACTTTTGCGCCGCTGCACTTACCTGTTCTATCTTTTTCTTAATCTTCTCTCTCCATGTAATCTCCGTTGCCAACCAAACCAAAAAGGCATTGGGGGTGATTTTCTGAGCAACTAGTTACTCCAGGAATACTGGTAGCGACACAGCGTTCGTAATGCTCAACTGCTTAAGCTTTCTCAGAAATGTTTCATGTTATTGATTGTTCGACGGTCGCAACGAACGTGTGCCTGCAAACGGCTTCATTCGCATCAGTGCATCGACCCGGTGACGGTCCATGCTTTGGCACGCAAGCGGATTTCCAAATATTGTACGCATCGGTAGAGTTTAGCAAGCAGAATGCATTGAAAGTCTAGACTAGTCTATATACTACTGGAAGGCGTACGCGACCAGATAAAAGAGTTATCCAGCTCAAGGAAGTCTAGTCAGATCTTGATTTTTGTGCCTTTTCGGTGGGGTCAGAACACCAGGCAAAGAGCATAGAAAATCCAATATTGGAACACCGATTTTAGTGGCAAATTGCGGATATCATTACCTTGCCTCATTGGACTGATAGGGCTATTATGATAAGCCGAAATGTGAACAGCCCTACGTCCCGTGTAGTAACGTCTGCGAAAGCTAGCGGCAGGGCGCTTTTTGTTCGTGAATGCTGCATATCCTTTTACTGAGTACGTTTTTGATACCGTCACATACACTATTTAGCTCCAACATTCCAGTGTCACTATTTACCGCCTATCCCCCATTGTCATCATCGTCCACTCTCTTCAGGCACTCAAGTAATAACTTCTTCGCCTTAAATTCTTGTCGCACACACAGTGACCATGGTTTAATACAACAGTACGCTGACAGTGCGATTTTTGAGCAACGCGTACCTCAGGTACCATGGTCACCGATGTGCTACTTGATGACTTCCGACCACTGACCAGATCGTCTCGCCATAAGAGGGCTTGAAAATATGCCATTGAATATGCTGTGGTGCGATAAATACCGATTGCCTCTTTTCGGGGAAACAATCGACAAGAACAGATGCAAGGAAATACTGAGGTTTCTTCGTTTTGAAATGCGAACTACCAGAGATGAAAGATTGCAGACCGGCAACTTTGCTTTAATACCTGAAATCTGAAATGCATTTATTCACAGCTTTCAACAGTGCTATGTGCCAGCACAGAGCCCTCACCGTCAGTGAACAATTGTTTCCCACTAAAACAAACCAGAAAAGTTCAGTATCTAGTTTTAGATTATGGCAGAAGTGGGCAGCATATATCTCTTAAATGAATTTCCATACCTAGGCAAGGACGAATGTCGGGCGTCTGGGGGAAGTTGATCCAGAAAACGTATTGAGCCTCATGTCACCCTTCTTTGGAAATGGCTACAGTGTCACATGCGACAACTACTTCACATCGGAAGCATTGAGAATAGCACTCTACAAGAGAACTATTCCTGCAAACAGAAGAGAAGTGCCAACGAGTTTGAAGCATAGAGAGTTGTTCACTTCAGTTATAATGAAGAACAAGACTGCCTACACTGACATCCTACCAGTGCAAAAGGAATAAACTGTTTGGTTTTCAGTTTTTTGAACAATAGCTCTTCCATTCCGGAGTCTGGAAAGAAGGAGCCTGGAAGTTTGTTGCTTTATAACTCCACGATGTATGTGATAGCTATACTCAACCAAATGGCAAGTCCATTCACAATCAAGTCTTCATCTTGACGTGCTGGATTTAGCACGGAATAATTCCTGAACAATTTATGATCGTGTCTCTGGAAATCATTTATCTCGCCGGTCGTATCTGATAGGTCTAGTGGGAGAACTGTGTGGACCTGTGCGTAAGACAAAGAACGTGACAACAGGACATATGTAGAGCACCTCAGCCCAGTCAGAAAGTCGTGAGACTAGTAAACCTCGGCACTGTCAGATTGGTTGCTGTAGAGGCAGCAAGTCAAAGGACACGGGTTCTGTATGTGAAATAGTTTGTGGCTCATGTGGACAATTTGAGAGTTATCGCCTGTTTCAAATGTAAATCCGAATAACATGTACAACTATTTTCCACTTTGAAATGTTAAAACTAAATAATTTTTTCAGTTACACATGTTGTTAGACTTTGTTCTTATATATAATTCCAAAACAATGTCGGAATACACGCATACAGTAATGCGAGCATTTTGACAGGTCTCAGACGTTCTAGGTAGGACGGAGGAGCGGTTTTTCTAGTGTTAATTGGTTATCCTTTGGCTCCGCGTCCGTTGCGTTCCACTAGATTACCAGCTGCCATCACACCTTGGATGCATTGTATGAAGCCACTCCTCTGTCGCACGTATTTACCGATAGTTCCGTGCCAACAAGCATCATTTGCCTTTGAGACGTTCTGATTTGTCTAATTTTTATCGGATGGTATCCAAATGCAGTGTAAGCGTTGCTAGGAAGTGAATGGGGGCTTAAACTTACCGAATCATCCTGTATCTGCGATCCACTACTTCCACTTTTGTTCCATGTGATGATCAAAGGCGAATCATATGGTGACCTGTGGTGATGGTTGTTCGTTGATTCGCGTCTCACGCGACATCGACGTGTCATCATCCCCAACTGGGTATTCACCGCATGTTGCACTTTTGTGTCTGATGGCTTTCAGTGTTTATCGCGTGCGCTGATACGATCGTTTCCGGTTTCTTTCTTTATGCAGGTTCAAACCATCAAAATTATTGGGAGCCGAAAAAGCACCCCACCATCTATCTATGCTTACTTGGTCATGGAAACTGCAGACGCTGCGCAGCGTCTGGTCGAAGGTCTACAGGGCGCCATGTTTCACAATCAGGAAATTAAAATTAAACGGGTAACTTCATTGCATTTTTTCTCTAACTAAGTTGGCTTCTCACCGTCTTCCGTATCGTTGCTTGCTCTAAACCTATGCACGCTCGATGCATAGCTCATTTATTGTCGCTTTTAGCGTACTGTGGAGTTATTCCCGATGACAGTAACGATGCTCTACCTAGCTACGTAGGCTTCTGTATGGACGTGTGCTCATTGCTAGAAGGTTTCTCCGCGATGTTTTTTTTCCGTTTTCTGCCTCATGTATCCCAAATTGGTTGATTTAAAACCCCGTCGTTATCTCCTGTCTTTTCAGATTAACGCCCTCCCGATACCTTGAGGATTTGTTTTCATCCTACTCTTTTACCGATATTACTGCTGCTTATGTACAGTCCTCATGTCGCCATCCTTTTGTGCCTCATGCCTACAACGTGTACTGGATATTACCGGATGAATTCCTCACTTATGTTTACCATATTGTGGTCATTTTCTCTGCATGAGTGCGTCACTCTTGTTACCCTTCGGGGGGTTTACCAGCGTGAATAGCAATCTTCTATTGCACTAATCCTATTCCTCCTCAGTTTCGGCCATTTTACCCAGATTTAGCGCATTAAGTCTCGTTCTCCGAACTATACCTCGCACTTTACATTCAGAGCGCTTTAGTCGCGCACAGAGATCAGTTGGTTCTGCTTGTTATAGCCTTTCATCACCACTATTGTTTCAAATATCCGAATAAAAGTAGTTGTCTATTTCTTTGCTCACGATTGACAAGTACTGTTTAGACGATGCCCTATACGTAGATTGAGTAGTTGCCTATGGATTTCCATCTGCCATATGTGTCCAGTGCATCTCCACTTTCTCCAGTCTTTGGAATCGATCCTAATTCTGTGTTTGTGCTTTTCTTAACGACAGCACATCATCCGAAAAAAGGTCTCATCAAATGCAAACGGATTATTCTGTACTCTGTATACACTACTTAACCTGTGGAACCGGCCGTTAGGTTATGATGAGATATGAGCAGAATGGCCACCCGCCAAGTATCCGTTATGCTCTGTGCATCCATAATGGATAAATATTCGACCTTACGGCGCACATCGCAGACAGGAAAAACTAGCCTAAACGTAACCAGCGAATAAGTGTAAAACCGCAGCCCGTAAAGGAAAGTTACCATATCACTGAAGCAGTGCGCGTAACAATTTTCGATTGATTACGAATGAGTAGACGGATTTGGGTATCATTCGTTTGACTGATAGTTCACTTTTAAAAATACATGACAGATGTGGTACAGTTGACACACCGCTCATTACTGTGCGGGGATATCTGGTTTTTCACATTTGTATGAGCCCCTATGGATGGAGCATGAACGATTATTTCAGACGCGAGGTTTTTGTATGGATTGCCATTATTAAACGGTGATGTCAAGTAGATCCGGTTTTTGAATGCTGCTACTGACCTGGCACATACCTTGAGCCGTTCACTTACAAGACCAAGGAGGCTCGTTAGAGGGACTATATCCATTTGGGTAGCGCACAATCAGTGATAAACGGCAGAAGTCTTTACCTTCCAGTGAAGATCGAACGTAGCGAATAACCAAATAAACTGCGAGAAGTTCTCTCTCAAATGGGCTGTAACGGGTTTCGGCTGGTTGCAACCGTTTCAAAAAGAAACCTAATGGTTGCCTAGACCCATTGACAAACTGCTTATAGGCTGCTCTTACCGCCTTGTTTGTATCGTCTTTTACTAGAGAAAAAGGAGCATTTGGTTGTAGAGGCGTCAAAAGAGCAGTGTTTGCAATCGCTTTTTCGAATTCCTTGGAAGATGATCGAACAGCATCGGTGAAGAAGAAACTACACTGACTGCCACGAACCAAGTCAGTTAGAGGCTGCATTATCTTCGCACAATTAAGAAAGAAGCGACGGTAGTAGTTTATTACGCCGAGAAAGCGTCTGAGTTGTTTGAAAGATGAAGGTTCAGGAAAATTTTTGATGGCATCGAATTTTTTTGAGAAAAGCCTGGATACTGCATGCAGAGATCGGATGACCCCAAAAATCAACCGACCATTTATCTAACCCGCACTTAGCGGGGTTAACGATAATTCCACGGTCACATAGACGTTGAACCAGGTGCTCCAGATGTTCTGATTTGAAGGCGCTTGCTGCCAAAATGCCCAAATAAGAATGTACGCAATGTAATCCGCGTGTAACGTCATGTATGAACCTTTGGAAGGCTTGTGCGGCATTTCTCAGGCCGAAAGGGATCCGCAGAAATTCGAATAATCCAAAAGGTATAATGATGACGGTCCTAAGGATGTGGCATTCTTCGACAGGAAGCTGGTACTATGCTCTCAGGTCCATTTTACCAAACATGGACTTACCGTTTAAGCTGCTAGTTAGATCATGAATGTTCGGAATTGGGTATTTGTCAGGGCAGGTGCACTTGTTAAGTGACCGATAATCGTCACACGGTCGCCATTCTTCTTTGGCACCATGTGGAGTGGTGAAGCCCACTGACTTTCGGATGGTCGGATAATACCAACTTCGAGTATATGCTTGAATTCCACCTTGACGTTCAATTTACCAAGTGCTAGACGCCGTGGTCGAGCGGAGACTGGTTGCTCACGGGTTCGTATGTGGTGCACTATGTTAGTTGCGGCAAGAATACTAGTGTTCGAAGGGCGAACTGGCTGTGGGAACTGCGCGAACAATTCGGGAAAGTCTGTCCGCTTGTGGCTGGGGATAAATGTAAGTGATAAATATTTGTTCTCGACTATGCGAGGCATGATCTAATAAGCGCAACTGTACAGACGTCTCATGGCGATTGTAACAGTGACAATCAAATATTGTTCAGACGTTCATGATTGAAACTGTACAAGTGAAACAAAAGTAAAAATGTAGTAATCCCATGGTTATGAGTCCGGGCACGTTCATATGAACCTAATCAGTCTGCCATAAATTGCAGCCACAAATAGATCAAGGACTAGGGATCATCAATTAGAAAAGTATTGATGAAGAACAAGATCAGCATTGATTACGCGATACGCTGGGTACATGTGAGTGTAGCGTAGAGATCAGCGGTGGATGCGCAGAAACACGGTGACGAAATATGCAGATAGGAAAGTGTCGGGGTGGATCAATGATGGTGAAATGTGGGGCTAGTCAACTTGCCAGTGTGAAGTAATGGACTATGACTATGCGGTGGCGAATCGCACCCGCCACGTCGCCTTGTTGTTAAACGTAAACCTATGGCTTTTTTAAAGGGAGAACGCTTGCCACCCGAATACCCACCACGTCCTGGAACACTGCTGTCGACCAATTCAAAGAACAAATTGTAACTGCCAATGCTTTTTATTGATCGATTATTGGTTCTGTTAGTCGTAGTCAGGATACACCCATACTTTCCGCTGGTTGATGTATGATGGGCGAGGGACTGTTTCGTCCATGAGTGCTGTCCCGTCCTGACGGAATGGCTCGGCCCGTCCAGTAGGTAAATCATGAATTGTACATTTCTGAAATGTTATTATGTATTTGTCGTTTGTAGAACCGCGTAATATCTTCCGGGAGTATCCAAAAAATATCATCTTGAAGTATTTTTGGAAAAGGGAAAAAGGCCGAACCCAACTGTTCTGGCCCTAAAGGGTAGCAAATTGTCCGGAATAGCGAACAGAAATTCCTCCCGGGTTAAGTTGTATTGATTGTAAACACTGGCATCCACGGCTAAGTGGACGGTAAAAGTAGATTGCACTGGTCCAGATGTGTGGTAAGTGAAATGTAATGTAAATGGCCGAACCCATTTGATGGTTTCGGAAGACATCTCGATTCCGCAATTGGGAATACGCATTTGTTTGTCAGTTAGCTTTCGCTGACGTGTGTCAACCATAAAAGGGAAATGATGCAAGAAATCGATTCCGATCAAAGTAAACGATACAGTAGCTACCGTAGAAATCCAACGGAATTTGCGTTAAGATCGATGATTTGGGAACGCTGGCCAATGTTTGCTATGTATGTTCCGTTGGTGCCACGTAGGTTCGCTGTCCGCCGCTTAGTCGATTCATTTGGTCCTGGTGGGATCACACTAACTTCCGCCCCAGTGCCACTGCGAACATGATCCCTGAGATTCAGTCGGCAATTTTGAATAGACGACGCGGTTTTTAAAGTACCGACGTCGGTTGCCAGTTTTTGTGGCTCAGCTTGATCTAAGTCACTGTTGTTGGACATCTGTTGACCGTTGTCTTTGATATTGTGTTGAAGCGCCAACGGCTGCTTTCACCCTCTAACGGTAGTGAGAATGCGCACGGCAATCCGGGTGAAAAACAATGTAACACATCGCACGCCAAACCGGCCACCAATCGTCCATGAGTTCAAACTGGTCGCATAATTCAAATTAGGGCATATACACAGGCTACGCAGTAAGGCTGACTGTCCATCAACCAAAGCTAGTCATTCCAGGGACAAAAGATCGATACGGTGCCTCACCAATGTGAGGCAACAGAAAACGTATGTGGGGAACCGTAAATGAGAGTGGGATGAATAGGAGTAAGTGGGGCAAACTCACAAGACGACGGGGAGTGGTGAAATTTTCTTATCACCGCTATTACATTTGGTCGTTATGACACTGTGGATCTATCGACGTCTGTCAAGGCTTTGTTCGGTCTGCTTCTTTTTCGATGTAAATGTGCAAGGTTTCATGCATTTTCTAGCAGCTCTACCGAAACGCGCATGGTAACGGCCTGTAGAACGTCGTGTGTTGCTACGCTGCTGCTGGTTTAGGTTTAAATGTTGGACTTCTCTTTTGAGTGAGACTATTTCGTTCATAAGAGCATGCGTTGTTTTATGGTCTGTACCGAATGTGGCGCGTTAGCTGACCGGATGGTGCTAGACGTGGCGCAAAGTGGCTAAGTGTAGCGCTTTCTGACAACTTCTTGGATTTGGTGAGGCTTAAGGGAGCCTGCGCGTGTTCAGACAAACGTCGCATCCATAGTTCACGGAACAAGGATTCCATGCTGAAACCTCTTAGGAGACGGCGCATCTCCAGTGAGAGCCTCGACGGTTGATGCAGTCGAGACCTGTTTGATGGTGTGCATCGTTTTGTTACGGTATCTTTCAGAGAGTTATAACGCTTAGTCGGATCAGCTGTCATAATCAGATCGCCTTATTGGACGGTGAAGTCTATAAGCAGATGAGATAGCAAGTTGTTGAACTTATCTGTCGCGTGCGACACGTTCAGTAGCATATTCTGCTTCTAAGGTCATGGACCATAAAGCATTGTCTATCTCCCTAAACGGGGGAATCACCAGGGTGACTGAATAAACAGTCTACTCGTCCTCACTATACTTAAAGTCTGAGTCCATGGCTCAGAGAATCTTAAGCACTTAATGAAATTGGATGAAAAGTGTCACGAGTAGACAATGAACAATTGGAACGGACTCACCAAATAAACTCGAAGGTACTTCTATCAATGTAGGGACGAAATTGCTCTTGATCTGGAAAAGAATTCCGCTTGTGATCACCAAAGTAGCGAGGGTGGCCAGTTTGTAGTGGAAAGGCCAAATTAAAATGGACTCACTACATACAAAGAACTCCCTGTCTATAAAGTAAGGATGCTGGACCTGACCTTCGGTAGAGCACGATCCTCGGTAGGCCGTCAGTTAGCCGCACAATCCGGTCGGGAGACGAAGCTTACTCGGCACAATAATTCTACGCGTTCGATCCGATGAATGAAGCTAGCAGACCGACGACGATCAACAGAACAACGTAGTCGAAACCAGAAGGCGAATTGAAACCCGAAAATGTCTTTCCGTTTGTTGGTTAGTTAAAATCAAACTGTACAATAATAACGGAAATGAGAATAGGAAGGTACAATTGGGAAGAGAGGTATGTGCAGTCCCTATAGGCTCACATTAACAGAATTGGATTATTCGCGGTAGTCTACTGGCCATTATCGCTCCTAGTGATTGAAACGGCACGCAAGTGTCTGAACAAAAGTGTATTGTGGTACACGTGTATTGGCTAAAAATGCAACACCGAACGACGCGAGCTAGTCAGGAAAGGACGTGAG